TCATTAAAAAGGAAGTGCAGTGTTGTTCAGAGTACAGACTTAATTAAATCTGGGCTCTGCCACTTATGAGCTGTATGACATTGAAAAGTGACTCATCCTCTCCGCTTCAGTTTCCTCATCTGTAAGACAGACATAACAACAATACCTGCCTCATAGGGTTGTTGCTGAGATTACATAAGTTTGTATGTGTACAGCACTTAGAAGAGTGTCTGGAAGTACAGCATAAGCGTTAACAGATATGGTTACTGAAGAACAATCTATGGTGAGGAAGGAAGCGACTATGCAAGAGCGAGCTTGTGTTCTGGAGAGGCAGCACTCTGTGCAGAGGGTGTTTGCTTCTGGGCTCGGAGAGTTAAGTTCTTTCACTGGAAACAAGGCCCTGGGAAGAGCAGAGGAACCTCAGTGGCAGCAAGACGGCAGGGCTGTTACTGGAAGAGACTTTTAGATGTTTTCAGAATCAGAATGTCACAAATGTATCTTGAGTTTTTATTATAGAGTGTGTCCACATTCTTACACAGGTTATCTACCTATAGCTTTTAGTCCATGTATATAGTTAAAATTTAAGAAATCACGTTACCTTCTAAACCACTTGAAAGTACATTCTGGCACTAGAGAGGGTGGGGGCTATAAACGCAAATACTCTTCCTGAAAATAAACTTAAAAATATCATCATATGTGTATGTGTGTGTATATCAAGCTTCAGCAGACTATGGCCTGCTGCCCATTTCTAATGGCCTGAAAATTAAGAATAATTTTTCTATTTTTAAATAGTTGAAAAAAAATACATAAAGGAAAAGATTCCATGACACATGAAATTCAAATGTCAGTGTCTGTAAATAAAGTTTCATTGGAACACAGCTGCATTCATTCATGTATGATGTCTATGGCAGCTACTGGGCTACAATGGCAGAGCTGAATAGTTGTGACCGACCCACATGGCCTGCAAAGTCTAAACTATTTACTCTCTGGCTCCATAAAGGAAAGGTTTGCCATAGCATATGTTATAATAAAAGGGGGTAAATTAATCTCTTAGTTGTGATTCTCCAAATGAGACTAAATTGCTAAACTGAATTGTGATAATATTCACTTTTAGGTTCCCTAACAGAGATGCTTCCCCAAAAACTGGTGATTCTTTGAATGGTGGTCAATTTCTTAAAGGAAACTAACTCTTCTAATGCTCTGTAGTGCAGAACACCTTAAGGAGTTCAGTGGCGTACCTGTCTGAAAACTCGAACCCATCCCGAGCTGCTTCTTGTTGAAAGTCTGGTCCTACCTACAACTTCTTATGTAGTCCACTACTGAGAAGAAAATGTAGAAATAGAGAAAAGGAACTATAATCTAATCAAACACCTACCATGTCCCAACAGATTATATTATTTCTTTTAGTTCTTCACAACAATCTTATGGAGTTGGAATTACTATCCTTATTTCACTGAGGTAAAGAGAGAGGGTCAGTGAGGTTAAATGACTTGCTGAAGATAATAGTTAATAAGAGGCAAAACTGGGATTTGAATCCAAGTCTGACAATCCAAAGCCTCAGTTATTTCCACTAAATCAGAAACTTTCAAATATTATAATTATGACTCAAAGTAAGAAGTACATTTTACTTCATGATACAACATAAATTATAAATATATACAATTGAACAAAAGTTTCATGAACCAATACTGATCCTTAAAATGTGCAATGCACTCTGTTATTTCTTATTCTAGTCGATAAGTTAATGATCAATAGTCACAACCATCATCTGATTAGTTTAAAAAAATTATTGCCCTAAATCACAGTGTTTCTCTATCTAGGGAAGAATATTAGTGAGGTTCTTCAATTATTATAGAGTCTGGTCAACCTTGCCACTGGTCTACTTCTTTGTGACAGTAAAATCATAGAATAACTACATTTTATATGTCTGTTAGAGGTTATCAATCACTGTTTTGAGACAAGTGATTTGTGAGACAACTGGTTTAAAGAGCATGTTCCAAGTGCTTTGTATGTTTGTTTAATCGTAACAATTCTATGAGGTAGATAATATTATTCTCATCTTATAGAAGAAGAAATAGGCAGAGAGTCTTAGTTGATTTGCTCAAGGTTGCACAGTGAACTCCTGAGGCAAGATTCAGACCCAGGTGGTCTGGCCCCTGAGCCACCGTCCTAACTACCTTCTCCAGCACCATTAGCTGCAGAACTTCAGGCCTGGGTCACACTCATTTTTCAAAGAAACAATGTCAACAGAATTGACTTAACATTTAACTTTTGGTTTTTTAAAAAGAATTGGTCATATAAAGAATAGTGTCATGTCTTTAATAAAAGTGCTATTAAAATGCCATATTAATGATATTGTCACTGTTCCCTATGTCTCATCTCTCCTGGTATAATAGATGCTTTATTTTATTAGGAAATAGAAGTTTACACAACATCTTGATTCCATTTTTTTGTCAGAGTTTTCCTGTGTCTCAGAGTTAAACTATGCTTTTATCATTAACAGATAACAGCTAATTTTTTATGGCTATGCTTTTCTGTACAGCAGCCTATCATTTTCTTCCTCACATTTAGTAACACTACATTAGAAGCTAGACAATTAGAACTGAGACAATTATGTCCCATGCTTTCACTGAGCTGAATATTTAATGGGAGAAATGTGCCTTACGTAATTTCACGATTTCATTATTAATGATAAGTATAAGTTCTGTAAAGGACAAATACAGCATGCTTTAAGAATATATTACTGGGAGATCCAATATATCCTGAGAGTAGTGACATTCATGCTGAGCTATGAAGAATAAAAGGGAATCTCCCTAGAATGATTTCTAGGTAAAGAGAAGAAAATATAGAAGGTCCTGAGGCAGGAAGGATGGCTCTTCTAGTAAACTTTGGTAATTTGTCAACAGGACCGACAGAACACCTTCTGCTGGCATCTGCCCAAGACACTTGCTAGGAACAGGAAAAAAGTGAGAGCCATCTTGCTTACTTAACTGAGGGTGATTCTGCTCTACGTGGGAGTGGGGAGTGCAGTAGTTCTCAAGAAAGAGTGAGAAAAAAGAAAAACCTGTTTAATTTACTGAATGTTCTATCCCAGGTGAAAAAAGAAATTGGAAAGCCGGAGAAGACTGTTATAAGAGGGTGATGCTATTGATCGTTTTTACAGTATCTACAAGTGCATACAAAACAGCCCAACTTTCTTTTACTTCTAATCCTACAAAAGGAAAAGGACTGCTGCTATCCTGGAAGAAACCAGGGATTCATAAGTGTTACCACGATATGGGAGTGAAAATGGGAACAGGTAGAGCAAAGAGGGAAAACAATTCTTCCCTGGACTTTTGCCTTTATTCCCAATCAATACTTGTTAAAATGAATAGATAATTCAGAAGACAATTAGGGCTATTAGTTTAAATGTTTACATACTTCCTTTTATGTTGTATTATAAATACAAGATTTTTTCTTGTTTCACCCTCACCTCCCCCTACCCCCTTTTTTTTTGCTGCCAAGCTTTTACCATTAACATTTCTTTGCCATAGGACAAATAAAGCAAATTTTAAAAATTGGTGGTAGGAGGTTTTCTAATAAAAATAAGGGCAACCATTTATAGGAAGTTTATTATATACCAGGCACTATATGAAATGTTTTGAATATATGATTATTTCAATTCATCACAACAACCTTTTGACCCATTATCTCATTTATGTCATCAATGAGGAAAATGAAGCAAAAAGAAGTCAGATAACTCTGTGCCAAAGGTCACACAGTGAGAGATGCCATAGTCCATTAAATGGATGCTATTCCTCGTGGAGTTCATTCTGCCTATTTTCTGAACACAGTATATCTGCTGGATCCCAAAAGAAGGCTAAAGAAGATCCAGGGGAAAAAATAGCACTCTTATGATTCTTCAGCCTACTGTCTTTTACTAAGTGAGAACAAGGCTGAGTTGAATGAGACTGGGTGAAGAAATTAAAAAGAGAAGTAGGCCGGATATAATAACTGGCAGTTATAAACTGGAATACAAAAATATATATATACAAGTTAATCTCCTGTGAGTCTAGTTAAAACACAGACTACTGAGTTCCATCCACAGACAGTTTCTGATTCAGCAAATCTGGGGTGGACTCCGAGAATTTGTATCTCTAACACATTCTCAGTTAATGCTGCTGACCTAGGAACCACAATTTGAAAACCATTGGCCTATGTATACTACATAAATTCACTCTCTTACATGGCTATAGTGAGTAAAACCGCACACTTTTTCTGCGCACCAGAACATAAATAAAAGGACTACTTTAGAGTTTAAAAAGATACAGAATTTTCAAAGAAACATTTAAAATTTTTTCAAAAATATAACATTTGTAGTATACTAAAAATATATGTAAAATATGTAAACTGTAAAAGCCACATAGTTCTCATAACTAATCCATATATAGTGACAATCAATGTCTTCAAAAACAACTAACTTCCTTTAATATTAAACTATATTTTTACAATCGCCAAATAAGATTTAATTTTTAAAGAATACATATAAGCTTTCATAATTAACATATACAGTAGAAACAGGTTAAATTTTAAATCTTTTTTTCGTCATTGGCATTCTACAATTTTCACTAGTGAATAAACACTATGTTAACTGAAGACTAATCTAACAGAATGTATAAAATTTGATAAGAAAAAAATTCAAATTTTCCAAGATATACAGTAAAACTGCTAAAGACACAGGAGTATTTTATCCTAAATTTACCAATTTTAGTTATTTTGTTAAATAAAGAAAGCATAAAATTTAAGAATGGGCTAGACCATTCTAAAGTAAGCCTTCAAAAATAATGATAGATCCAAATATGTGGTGACAGAAAGGAATCTAACCATGGGCACTGAACACACAATTGTACACCTGAAACTTAACTAGATTTCATTAACCAATGTCACCATAATAAAACTAAATTTAAAAAATGATAGAATAACCTTCAGTGCTATTTGAGCAATTATATACAATGAATATTGGCAATGAAGTAAAATCTTACCCAGATCTAGTCGTTTTGAACTCCACCTTGAGGATAGGTTTGCATGGTTCTGGCTTCTTCCCATCCTTTAACTGTTTTCCTAAAATATATTTTCCTGAATTAAATTCTAAAATTCTAAGTTACTCTAAATTCTTACATTGACAGTTTATAAAATGAAAGTGAAATATAATGAAACATTTTTAAGTGATTCTGAAAGGAAGTATTGAATACAAATTAAGATATTTAAAACGATCAGGTAAATTTACTGTTTGAAATTCAGTGATGAAAAGTAAATAAAATGAATAAGTTTGTAACAACATTTAAGCCATATAATTCTAGTGAATGAAACTGATAGTCTTCCCAATGTTCTTAATTGCAGATAAGCAAAATAGAATTTCAATTTGCTAAATGAATTCAAATTTTAAAATATCCAAATTTTAGAAAAATAAATCTAGGTCAGATTTCCATCCAAGTGTGACAGGCTATGCAATTAAACCCTATGCTAATAAATTGATATATTTATATTTATAAATATATTTATATTTATTTTTCTAAAGTAAAATCCATCCATTGTAATGTATAGGAGACAGCTAAAATACACCAACCTCTATAAAATGTCAGGAACTCAAACTGTCAAAGAATTCTGATTATTTTTTAAAATGTTTGTTAGTTTCTGTTATCTATTTCTACAGGTTCATTATACAAACAACTCAAAAAAATATAAGAAAATAAGACATCTATTCCCATTTCTTAGAGATTAATTATTCTAAACAATATTATTCTTAGAGATCCCAAACACACATCCTACCCCCACATTTATTCTCTTCCTTCCCAGCTTCCTCATCCACTCCCACAGTACCTATCTCATTCTAATATACTTTATATTTTGTTTGTTGTCTGACTCAACAACAAGAATGTAAATTCCTTGAAAGGAAAGGTTTTTAAGTGTGTATGTGTATTCTGTTAATGTATACCTGCTGACAAATATTGTTTGGCATACAATAGGTATTCATAACTATTTAATGAATGAACACATTAATAGTTTTTCCTTAGAATTAATTTCTAGAAAAGGGATATCTGGATAAAACTGTATTCCAGAAAGATTTTACCAATTTATATTTCCATCAGCAGTGTAAATGAGTATTTTGCCATACCTTACCCTAACAATGCTATTTTTTTTCTGATTTGATAAGTGGAAAGGGTATCTCATTTTAATTTATATTGTTTTAATCTCTAACTAAATATTCTTAGGCTTACCGATCATCTATATTTCTTCTTTTAAAAATGTCTTATATCCTTTACCCATGCTTGTATGTAATCTCTATATTTAAAAATAAATTTAATATTCAAAGATCATTAACATATATGTAATATATTGCACATATTTTCCCCAGTGCTATTTGTGGCTGAATACTCAGAATTTTTTTAAAATTGTACAGAATAATCAACTCTATCAGTCTTACCACGTTTCCAGTTAAGAAAATTTAAAATCCCAAAATGTCAATGCTTCCAAAATTAATTTACAAATTTAATATAATTAGAATCCCATCAGCTTTTCTTGGATTTGGACCCCAATGGCCTTAAAGTTCACACTGTGGACTCAATGCCTATGACTGGCTAAGGAAACTAAGAAAGGAGATTAATTCCCAGAATGACAGAGAGAGGACCTCAGTGAACTCGCTTTCCCACAAAATTTGAAATACTAGCAAAATTTAAGTTAAATACTTCAAAACTCTGGAAACAAAGCAAAGCCACAAAATGAGTGAGACATTGTCTACCCAACAGAAACAACTGCACCTCAGTAAGACAAGGGAGACTGCGCCATTCCGATGGAGGATTATCCTCATCCTTCTTGTTCCCTAGCTCAGTGGCCAGTTAGAGACCAAAAAAGGCATTAGTATCAGTCAACATAGAAGACTGAAATTTCTTTGCATTTTCATTAAAACCAGCTTCCCTAGAGCACAATCAGTATTTTGTTCCAATCTGAAGCTCTCTGGAAAACTATATTCCCTAGGTACTGTGGCAATTTCATTTGACACAGACATCAGCTCAAGGAGACAGGCGGCCCTACCCTCTAGGACATCACAGAAATGATAGCAATCTGCTGGTAATATCTAGCTGCCTAAGGCTATGGTTTCAGAAGAGACAAGAGCTTGGGTGGGAATTAAAAAGAAAATCCTGAAGAACTAAAATATTCCTGGAGATCTAAAAGGCTGTACACACGTCCAAAATATTCCTGGAGATCTAAAAGGCTGTATACACGTCCAAGGTTGTGTGCATGCCCAGGAAAGATCTGAGAAAAAGAGAAGGTCGAGGTCCCAGTCACTCATCTCTGGCTGACTTTGAGACCTTGAGCAAACAGGAAGTAATAATAATAATAATAATAATAATAATAATAATAATAATGGCAGAAAGTAAAATGAACTCTAATACCTACGCTGGCAGGAACATTAGAAAGAGGTACTCATACATAGCTGGTAGAAATGTGAATGATAAAGCCTTTTCTGGAAAGCAGTTTGAGAACATTTATTAAAAACAAAAGAACCAATATCTATGGAATAGGTACAGGATGGTAATGGCAGCATAATTTGTAGTTCTTGAGAACTGAAAACAAAGTGAACACCCATTAATTTGGAATGGCTGAATAAATTGTGAAAAATTGTGAAAAAAACAGTTGGCTGTTACACAGCCATTAAAATGAATGAATTAGAGCTATGCCAGATATCTCGATTTTCCTAAAGTACAGTGGATTAAGAAAAGTAAAATGCAAAAGGCTAATATGACTATTTTATGTAAAATAATGACCCAAACCAAATCTCATATGTTTATATGTTTATGTCAACATGTATGAGTTTAGAAATATGTATTTTAAAAGAACACCTGTCAGATTTTTGATATAGTTTATATGGTAGGGAAGGAAAGGGGACTGGGCTATAATGTGGGGGAAGGCTCAGGGAGCAGGGACTCATATGATATGATCTCATTTGTGTACAATGAAGTGTATGTACATGAAAAAAAACCATCAGTCTTTTTTGTCTTTCTCTTCTTTGGTTCATGCTTAGGAAGTTCTTTACCACAAAAATCATATAAAACCTTTTTTTTTTTTTTTCAATTTCTTGTAATTACTTATAGTTTCATTATATTTAATTATTTTCTGAAATATATTTTGCAATAGGGGAGGTATTTTTCCTCTAATAATTAACAAATTATCAGCTATCTCAGCACAATTTTTAGAGTTCTTTTGAGCTGTAACTGCCAGAGAATAAAGTGCACATATTTAAAGTGTACTATGTGACAAGTTGTAATAAAGATATGCACCTCTCAGTACTCATTATCGAACCAGCATAGCTTTCCCCACTGATATGAAATGCTACCTTTATATTCTAAATTTTTATTAATGCACACACGTCAACTGGTATTGGAGCACCTAATCCTGCCTTAACTTGGGATCCTACGGGATCACTTCTTCATCTTTTTACACAGAAATGATGATGCAGTGGGATCACGAACCTCTGGCATCTCAATATATAAGAACCAAGAAGTGATTAGTGATGGAGGTAAGCAGAACAGAATAAGGGACTGGAAAGGATTGCCGGGGGAGAAAACTAAATCGCTGGGGTGGGAGAGGGATTAAGGAAAAAAGAAACGTATGGGAAAAAAGGTTTAAATCCAAAAAGTGGTCCCTCATGCTGTACAAAAAAACAAAGTAAGAATTTCAACCTCTACTTCAATTTGTTCAGAGACACACAAACTTTCAGTAAAGAATTTAAATGTTTGCTCTGAAAAAGGCCAGCATCAGGCATTTCTCTACCACCAAAGCTCTAGTGGGAGTGTCAGACTGACATAATTTATAGACCCAAATTTTACATTTATTTTCAAAAATTATTTTGTTACATACTTTTTTATGAAGTAAAACGATGATGTAGATATAACTCAATTTAACTTATTTCAGTATTCACCAATAATCTTTCAGTGGCTGGAACAATTTCTAAAGAAGGGCACTGCGTATATTTGCAAGTTTTGTTTTTCAAGTCTAAGCTTATATATCTTGAATAAAACCTGGATAGGTACAAAATTCTTAACTTTTCGTCTTGTTCAACAATCTTTTGATATTGCTCTATATGTCTAGCATTTAAATTTATAATAAAGTTTAAAGCAGTCTAATTTTTATTTCTTTATAAGTAAACGTTTTTCTGTCCCCTGTTAGGATGCTAACAGTGTAGTTTCATCATCTCTGTAAATCAAAAATGTCACAGTTTGCAGCGATCTTTCTTCATTGATCTTGCTTGGGAATTAGTCCTATTGATCTGCATACTCTGGTATTTTCTTTCAACTCGTTTTTAAAACTGTATCACTGACTATTGCTTATGTTCCAGAAAGGTTAATTTATTCATCTGTAATCCAAAACAAACCATTTTCTAAATCAAATCAAGTAATAAGGTACTAGCCACAATTTTATAAAGCCATATAAATTAAAGGATGTTCAGAGAATCAGTAGATTTCACCACTAGGTGTCATTTCACGTCTTACTTGTTATACTATCAGAGTAGCAAAACTCTGTGCTTGTTCTTTCAACTATCTGTGAACTAACTTGATAAATTGTTGAAAAGATCTAGTTAATTAAAAAATTTCACTTGATAAATCACATAAACCTCCACATTATATATGATTTCTTATCTCTTACTATGCCCTGCTTCCCATTCCTATAAGCCGCCCAGCCACAATGAATTAATTTGTCCAAGTTCTGTTGATCCTAATTCCAGAATTTTATTCAGGTATGCCCATCTCCTGTTTTCTGTCACAACTGAAATCTTCTTTAGTTATTCTTTACTACTGCAATGGCTCCCTGACTGGCCTCCATCTTCTGCCCCCAGCTCACTTGATATACTATCATCAAAGAAATATTTCCAAAATGTAAATGTCATGATTCTCATGGTAAAACTATTCACCAGGTCTCCATCATGAAGTCCAAACTCTCTCTTTATCATATTATGGCATATATTCATGCCTCCATATGCTTTTCTGTCTTTGTTTCCTGATACTTGCCCAAAGGAAGTGTAAACTCTGGTAATATTAAACTATTCACAGTTTTTCAAGACC